CTGTGGCTTGAATTAGATGCATCTTAGTCTTTAAACTGACATCACTGCTCTTTAAGAGACAGATCTCTTTAGAGATCCCTGACAGGAGGCTATCCCAATTCTATATATCTCTTGATCTCCTGACTGCTGGTACCAATTACTGATAAGATTTTAACAATGTCCTTATGGTTCAAAAGACAACATAAAATCCATCAAGACATTAATTATGTCCAGTGTTAAAAAGCAAAGCCATTGTATTTTCAATTGTTTCATATGTAAGTGAAAGCTCGCCAATGACTAAGGAGGACCAAAGAAAAACTGATGCAGGGGAGCTCTGGTGGCCTAGTGGCAAGAAGCTGCACTGCAATCCCAGAGGCACACAGTTCAAATCCACCAGATGCTCTGCCAGGAAAAGGAGGGACAATCTCCTCCTGTACCAGTCAGATCCGATTTGACGGCACACACACACACACACACACACACACACACACACACTAATAATAACACAAAAAAATAAAAAAAAAAGAAAAACTGATGATGCTTTTGAACTATAGTGTTGGAAAAGAATACTGATTACACAAATGGCTTCCAGAAGAATGAACAGGACAATTGGCTATATATAGTCTTGGCAGAATCATAGCTAGAGTGCTCCTTTAGAAGTAAAGGTGACAAGACTGTGTCTTACATGCTTTGGTTATGTTTTCAGGAGGGTCCAATCATCAGAAGAGTATCATGCTTAGCAAAGGAGAGTGAAAAAGGGGAAGACCTACAACAAAATAGACTGACACGGGCTACAATAATGGATTCCAATATAGCACTGTGAGAATGTCTCAAGACAGGGAAATGTTGTATTCTTGCCTAACATCAACTGTGATATGCTAGGCAATACAAAACACAACCAATGAATTATTCTTTCCAAAAAAGATTAAACCTGAATTTGATCAGGCCTCTGTATCTACCTACAAGTACAGAGAAATATATTAAGTAACACTTCAGGATACAGTCAATAAAATCCAGAAAGTAGGAAATTCTACAAGATAAAATTCTATTTATAAGTAAATTGTTAACTACGACTTAATAAACAACAGATCTGAATCCTTCCTTGTCTTGTGCCATCTTGATCATCTCTGATATATTTGAGCCCATTGTTACAGTTACTGTGTCAATCCACCTTGTTGAGGGGCTTCTTCTCTTTCACTGACACTCCACCTTGTCAAGCATGATGTCTCTTTCCAAGGAATGACCTCCCCTAATATTATGCTATAAAAAAACTGGAGCAACACATCAACAGAGAACTGCCAGATTTGCAGGCTGGGTTTAGAAGAGGTCATGGTACTAGGGATATTATAGCTAATGTTAGATGGTTATTGGCAGAAAGCAGAGAATACCAAAGCAATGTGTATCTGTGCTTCATTGACGATGCAAAGGCTTTTGACTGTGTGGATCACCACAAGCTGTGGCTGACTCTGAGAAGAATGGGAATCCTAGAACATTTGATTGTGCTTACGCAAAACCTATACTTGGACCATGAGTTAGTCATTAGAACAGAGGAAGGAGACACTGCATGGTTCAAAATTGGGAAGGCGGTCCACCAGGGATGTATTCTGTCTCCATACCTTTTCAATTTGTATATAGAACAGATCATCCAGGATGCTGGGCTGTACGAGGAGGAATGTGGCATCAGAATTGGTGGAAGATTCATCAACAACCTGCGTTATGCAGATGACACAACCTGGCTTACTAAAACTGAGGAGGACCCAAAGCGCTTGCTGCAGAATGTCAAGGACTGCAGCCTTCAATATTGATTGAAGCTCAACATCAAGAAAACAAAGAATCTCACCACTGGGCCAATTGGTAGCATCAGTATGGATGGAGAAGAGATTGAGATCATTAACAGCTTAGTTTGCTTGGCTCCACAGTCAACACTGTTGGTACCAGCAGCCAGGAAATCAAGAATTAGATTGGGAAAGTCAACTGTCAGGGACCTCTTTATAGAGTACTGAAGAGCAACGACATCAGGCTGGAGACTAAGGTGCACCTGATCCGGGCTATACTCTTTGCAATTGTGTGCTATACAACTGGAGAGCTGGAAAGTTACTAGGGATAATAGAAAGAGAATTGAGCCTTTGAGCTGTGGTGCTGAAGAAGAGTGTTGAATATTTCATGTACTGCTAGGAGAACAAACAGGTTTGTCCTGGAGAGGGTGAAGAAGCTGCTCCTTGGAGCCAAGGATTCTGAAGTTTTGTCTAACATACTCTGGACATGCTGCAAATAGGGACCAGTCCTTGGAGAGGGACATCATGTTTAGGAGAGTGGAGGGACTGCACAGGAGAGGAAGACACTTGATGAGATGGATCGATTCAGTGATTGGAGTAACAGGAATAGGTGTGTCAGAGACAATGAGGTTGGCACAAGATATAGCAGAGTTTAGGGCTCTTGTACAGAGGGTCACTATGAGTCGCAAGCAACTTGATGGCACATAACAACAACAACAACAACAACAATACCATGCTCAAAGTATGTGTACTCTAAAGGAGTACTCTGGTTGTACTTTCTCTAAGCCATATTTGTTTGCTCCTTTAACAGCCCAATGGACGTAAATAAATTATTGTTGTTGTGTACTGTTGAGTTGGGACTGACTCATACCTGACCCTCCAGTGGGTTTCCAGAGCAGTCATTACATAAGACTTGACTGCCCATCTTTCTCCTGTGGAGCACTTGGAGGATTCAAACCCAACTGTGCCTTTGGGTTGACAGTGCAATTCCTTACCACTAGGCCACCGGAGCTCAGTGTAAGTAAATTAATTGTTGTTATTACTGTGTACCATCAAGTTGGGACCCACTCAAAGCTGACCCTTCAAGGAGTTTTCAGAGGCAGTGAACCACACAGGAGTTGAATGTCCATTTGTATTTGTCTCCCGGGGAGCAACTGGTGGATTCAAACCATGTGCCTTGCATTGACAGTGCAATTCCTTACCACTAGACCACCAGTATAGTAAAACTGATACAAAAGAGTTAATCCAAAATATAAAAGACACTTAAATCATATATATGATTCTATTTACATAAAATGCCAAAAAATTAACACTTGGAGAGCTTAATTAATAAAGAGATATATCTAGTCTATGGTAAACATGAGATTCAAAATAGGACTAGTTCAAAAACAAAACAAGACGAAGACTGATTTCAAAGCCTATACAACTAATTATCTTGTGATAATTCCTCCAAAGCCTGTATAAAGTATCAAAATAAATAATATATTTCATGTATATATATCTCGATGTGTGTAAAGATCGCATCATCTGACCTAGAACATTAACAATTTCATGTAAAAGTGACTACTTATTAAATAATTTCACTGAATTTATTACTCTCTAGAGCTGTATCACTAAAAACCACATTTCTTTCTCATATGGACTTTAACAAACAAAAAACCTCAAATACTGCATAGAACTGATTCTAACTCGTAACAATCCAAAGTTCAGTAGGATTGCCCCACAGGGTTTCTTTGCCTATAAATATTTACAAAAGTAGATTGTCACTCCTTTCTCCCACAGAGCAGGAGGAGAGTTTGAACTACCAACCTTTCAGTTAGGAGCTGAATAATTACTATGCCAGCAAGAGCCCTACATGTTGTTCTTAGGCATTATATATTACATAGCCTTAAGCTAACTGCCTTTCCAAGGTGATAAGTAGACAATAGAGCCTGAGAAAATGGATAAAACATGTGGTTTAGTAGAAAATAACTTTGAAATTGTAATTAGCAGATCCTAATTAATACTACATTGTAGTATTAGTTACAATATTTACTAGTCAATGGATGTTGAGTGTAGTTACAACTTCTGAAAATGGCTTTTTTAGCCACTGCCTTAACTCCCCTGGAGGCGCAGTATCCAACTGCCTTAACCGCTGAAACATGATTCACCATTATCAACAGCTGTGAGGTAACATAAGCGAAGAGAGTTGGCCAGACTGTGGAGACTGTGGGAGGTGTTGCCAGAGGAAGCCCTGGAGACAGAACCAGAGATAAAGGTTTTGCTTGCTGGGTAACTGAAGAAAGAGCTGACTTATGACTGCCAAGAGACAAAGCTTGCTGGACAACTAGGGGAACCAAAAGCTTCTTGCATTTGTGTGTTGGACAAAACCTGGAGTTTCAGTTGTTGAATGTGAAGTGGTTGAAATTAGTTGAGGAAATGTGTCTTGCTGTATATCTGACCTGGGGCTGCTGGTCACTAAACATAGACTTTCAGTGTGCCTCTCTCTCCTACCCTCTCAAACTATTCCCCCTAAAAAAAACCCACAACTGTGAGTAAAGTCAAGTCTGTGAATCAACTTGCAACAACTATCAGACCCAGTGACTGGCAGAAGCAGGTGTAGGAGCCTGGGGTCTGAGGTGTGGTGGCTATGTCTGACCTTGTAGCTATGTTTGTTATTGTGCATGTTACTGATGGGGACAGTCTCCTATGTGGAGTTAGTAGAGGTTGGACTCAGTCTTCCCCAGATTACCGTTGCTTTTATTGCACCAGGTAAGTCATTTAATATTTCTGATTCTCTATTCATTTGAACTAAGTAAATAAATAATTAAAAGTCAATGAAATCCATTTTGCCCTACACAACAGATGGCTGTGATGATAGAAAGAGACATTTTGTAAACTATGAAACAAAAATGGCATTACTCATTTGAGAGAATCAAAAAGAGACTATTTCTCAGATGAAGTCCTTATTCTTTTCCCCAGGCACATTTCAACATATATCTGGAGATAAATGTCACAACTAATATAGAAGAATGAAGAAATTCAAGGTAGACAGGAAGAAAGTGTTATATACTATGGGAGACATGTTTGGGGACAAGGAAGAATCTTTCAAAGTTAAGAAAATATTTCACTCAAACACAGTTGGCTTTATTTATATGCTAATAGCTCTTCTTGTTTTCTGTTATAAGCTGTGAGCAATTCCTCCTGCACTTTGTCACTAAAACACAAAAAAAATCTTGTAAGAAAAAATATAAATGAGGTTAATACCTTATTCCAGCCACTGGCATGAACTGTGGTCTCCAATGTACATTCCCGAAATGTCTGATATGTCACTGGCCTGTAGAGATTTTTTAAAAAGTATGTGTCAAAGAAGGAAAATTCTCAATTTTCAGAGGAATCAATACACAGTTAAATTTTTTTCTAAAGTGACAAGATACATGATTTTTAATGAAATGTGGCTTTGAGCACTTAATAGGCACTTTTTTCCAAGAACTTTCTGTAGGCTAAGATACAATGCAAACATTTGGGAGAACAGGAATATACCAAGATGAATACTTCCAGAAACATTTTTGTAATTGCTTAAAGTGGATAAATTTCTATGCTGCAGAAAACTAAGTGAATTTTTAATATAAGTAATTAAAAACTGTTTTGTGTGTGTGTGTGTGTATATAAATATAAAAATTTGAACTTAATTTTAAATTTTATTATTTAAAGTTGTAGAGATAACCTTTTCTGATTTTTTTTAAAAACCCTCTCAAAACCCAAACATACTGCCATCAAGTCAAAATTGACTCACAGAGGGTTTTCAGGGACTATAAATCACGGAGGAGGAAACTGCCTATCTTTTTCTTGAGGAGCATCAGAGTCTTCAAAAAATTGTTCTAGTGATACAGGTATGCTTTTATACAAATCAATACTGCAGTAATGCTAAAAGAGATATGAGAGATGATCTCTTTTTTAATGGTATGGTATTATGAACTACTTTCTTAATAATAGCACAATTCCATTAAAGTGGATCTCAATCCTTTGGATTGGTAGTGCAACTCCTTTGCCACCAGGCCACCAGACCACTGTTTTGAGTACTCCCATGTAAATCCTGCTCATACCTTAAATTAAAATAACTGAGATAATCAAACTTAATTATTGTTAAGTATTGTTGAATGAATTTAAATTCTACATTCCAACCCCTGGTTTTCATATGCAAATTGGGGGGGAACAGTACTTGATACCAAGTAACATAGGAAAGCACCATAAAGCTAACCCTCTCCACTTTTTGCAAGGTATTTATACACACATAAAAAAGAAAGAGGAATCTTGCTTATGTCAGATTTTAAAAATTTCATTCCAAGAGCATTTTCTGCTCTAAGGACTCAGGAAAAAATAAGACTATTCCAAGACACACAATTGACAAGTTGCCAGGTAGGAATTCACAGCTAATCTGATCCTGTCTCCGAAGGTTACCCTGTTCTCATTTCAAGTTAGGACAATCTGACACATGGCTGTGTAGACAGAAATTGTGAAATGTGACTAGTGATATGGTGCAATTAATACACATGGCAGAATTTAAAGACTTGGGGGGAAAATGAATGCAAAATAGATTGATACGTTGTTTTACAGGTTACACACTGAAATGATAATATCTTAGCTATACTAGATTAAATAAAAAATATTATTAAAACATCTAAAATTACTCTAGGTTTACTTCATTTGTATTTTTTTAATGTGGTTTTTAGAAAAATTTAAATTACATATGCTACTTATATTGTATTTCTATTGGACAGAGCTGACTCAGATTCTTCAGAAAATTGTTCTAGTGATACAGGTATGCTTTTATACAAATCAATACTGCAGTAATGCTAAAAGAGATATAAGAGATGATCTCTTTTTTAATGGTATGGTACTATGTACTACTTTCTTAATAATAGCACAATTCCATTAAAGTAACCTTGCATCTCTTAGAACACTTGGGCTAAGTACTAGATGAAGTTCAGCAGACATTATGTAGACTACCTACCTGTATTATCCCTGAAGCTTAACTTGTGTTTATCAGTCCCTTCATTTCCTTTCCTGAACTGTTTCATGTTGCTGTGGTCACTGCAGTCCTTACTGGTAGCTTGTCTATCTGGATAAAGTACTTTAGCATCTTTCAGAATGAAACATAACTTGAAATATCATATGTACACATATACATGCACATAATTAACCCGATACATAAAACATTTGAAGAAAATCTAATGGATAGAAGGATAAGTAGATGGATTACCAGCCCTACCTAATGGGATATTAGAATTAAGAAGAAAAGGGAGTCAGAGGGGTATTTTGAAACGTTTAAGAAAACCACATGAGAATTTCAGAATTAATCTCACACTTTAACTTGTCTGGATGAGATTATGCTTTAAAAGATATTGCCTTCAATCTGTACAGCTCATCATAAATTAGTTATTTTTAAGGAATTTTTAAGAAATTCTTAATAAAGCTTAAAAACTTTCAAAATGGAAAAAAATTACCTATAAATGAACTTGTCTGGGGTATATAATCAGAAACATCTATTCATCCAAGACAATTTTTAAGTATAATTTACTTTGCAGTGAGAAGAGTATCATTTTTCTCCTGTAGAATAAGAAATGGAATGAAGAAACAATACTGAGTTGTTTCTTTTTTAAAAAAAAAAACAAACCCAAAAAACTATGTAATATGGTTCTTTGGAGTGCTCTTCTCAGTAAAATTAAAATTAGCAGATGAATAAAAATACACTGAGATATAAAGAGTGAAGTGGTTTGATCAAAGTCACAAACTCTACATCAGCTTTGGACACAACATTTTTTACCTTCTACCTCTATTTTGTTACTTTACTCCCACTTCCAATACAGCTTTTTGAAGCCTTTCTCGGTCCTGGGATATTGGTTTTTTCTTTTTTTATAAAGTGACAGATTTCTTTATTCACATCTATATGACTCCTTAGTATATAAAGTAGATGAAATTATATCTGTTCTTGTTAAAGAATGAAAGGGCCCTAATAAACCCCACTCATTCACTGGATTAGATCTCTCACTCACTCATTAGATCTCTCAAAGACCCATAAAGTACCTCAGTGGGATCTATTTTTTTTGGGGGGGGGGATCTTACAGCTTATAGAACACTTTTTGAAATATCAATGGTATCATTCATAACCTCCTGTATAAGTTTTATTTTCTGACACCTGTATTTGTTTCTCTACATCTTTTTAATTTTCTACATATAAGATTAAAGAAGTCTAAATCTCACTAGAAAATGTAGAAAGAAAAAGAATTTTCTTAAAACCCAATAATCCTTCTAACAAATAGTCAACTATAAACTTTACCTGCTTGAAAGTAAGGAACTATTTTAAAAGTCATTCCTCATCTGAATTTTAGCCCTTTCAGTGAAGTTGTTTTCAGCCTGTTCTAGAAAGCTGTCAATCTTCATTAAGATAACATTTCTTTTTCTAATTTATATCAATTTCTTTTTTTTTAATTTTTTAATTTTATTTTTATTATTTGTGTGTGTGTGTGTGTGTGTGTGTGTGTGTGCACCGTCAAATCAGATTTGACTGGTATAGGAGGAGATTTTTCCTCCTTCTCCAGCAAAGCATCTGATGGATTTGAACTGCTCACCTCTCAGATTGCAGTGCAGCTTCTTGCCACTAGGCCACCAGAGCTCACTAATTTATATCAATTTCTTAATGATTCTCAGCAAAGAATTTTGGGAAATTCTTTGACATTTACAGCAAGTTACTTCATGTTATTTTAACACTTTCATTGTAACCTGCTTCATGACTGTCAAAACCACAGCTAGAAGCTAAACACTCTGTAAGACGGTGAAAGTAGTAACTATGAGGGCAGAGTAGTAACTATGAGGGCAGATGTGCAACTCCAAAGTCCAGCAATATCTAAATACCTAAAATACAGTGGCAATGTTACTTTCACATTACAATGTAATACATAAACTCTTGCTATTATATTTATGTGAGTCAGTGTACAGTAACAAAAAGTAGGACAAATGGAATAACCTGAACTTACAACTCAGTATAAGTATTTGTTGAAACCTGATACTTGAACAAATAAATAAAAATTATTCATTCTAAGCTAAGTAACTGAATCACGACTTTGATGGCAAAGCTGTTACTTAAAACCAAAATCAGGTGCTAGGGAAACCAAAGAAAAGTAAGTAAGCAAAAGAGTGACACTGTGCACCCAAGATAAAGCCTTAGCCACTCCTAGGCTATGTGATCAATGCAGAGGCTACTGAGAGAAGCACGATCCCACTCAGCAATGGTAACTCACTGGCTTAGGAGCATTTGCAATGCATTATGCAGAGGTTCTTTCAGTTCCTGGGAAACTTTTTCTCCAAGATGGGCCAAGCAGTCTTCTATTGAGCTTTCTGGGTTGGCAGGGCTGAACACTGGCGAAGTATGCCGGTCAAAGCCTGTGCTGGTAAAGGCTAAAGGCAGAAAAAAAAATCTAGCTTAATAAGCAACATCAAAGCTACAAAAGACATCTACTTACTACTGGGAAAAAGACCATATAAAAATGTTTGATAATTATTATGGATATTAACCTTTACTGGAGTACAAATACTTCTATTTTTTAAAAAATATATTTGTGTGTGTGTGTGTGTGTACTGTCAAATCAGATCTGACTGGTACAGGAGGAGATTGCCCCTCCTTCTCCAGCAGAGCATCTGGTGGATTCGAACCATGTGCCTCTGGGATTACAGTGCAGCTCCTTGCCACTAAGCCACCAGAGCTCCTAGTACAAATATTCTTAAGGCTTCCATTTAGAGATACTCAACGGTTGGGTTTTTTGTTGTTTCCTTTTTTAAAATTTTTTATTATTATTATTATTCATTCTAATGAAAATTTACAGAGATTTTGAATTTCCATTCATTCATTGCTGCACTAGAGATACTCAAGGTTTTTTTTAAAAAAACTGGTAGAAATATTTGCCTGAAGAAAACAAAATGACTAAACTGACAGGTTAAAATGCACTACACAATTTCACATAGCACTACTGACTGATTTAGAGTAATGAATATACCATAGACTACTAGGAGAACAAAAAGGTTCATCCTGGAGAGGATAAAACCAGACTAATTCTCGGAGGCAAGGATTCTGAAGCTTTGTCTGACATACTTTGGGCATATTGTAAGAAGGGACCAGTCCTTGGAGAGGGACATCATGCTTGGAGGGTAGAGGAACAGTGCAAGATAGGAAGACCCTAGATGAGATGGACTGATTCAGTCACTGGGGTGGTGGGGACAGGTGTGTTGGAGACAATAAGGTTGGCACAGAATGGAGCAGAGTTCAGGGCTGTTGTACATAGGGTTGCTATGAGTCATAAGCGACTCAATGGCACATAACAACAACAACATAGTGAGAAGCAATTTCTGGCTTCATTATTAATCTCTTAATCATTGATAAAATCTTGTTTTTACCTTTATTATGTGGCACTTCATAAGCCAGATTCTAATCTAGTGATATTATTTTAAGGGAATCATCAAGTAGTTTCCTTTTCAAACTTGGTATTTTTGCATATGGATAAATTCATTAATTATGAACTATATGTAGTAAGCATAAAAAGTTGCAGAGAAGAGCTCTATTTCCAATTCCAATTACCAGCTGATTTGCCTCCTAACTTCATGTTATACAGAACTATAGGGAGTAGCTTAAAGATAAAAATTGTATTGTCAACCCTAAGGTATGTATGTTATCTTTAATCCATCAGCTGCTCCACAAGAGAAAGATGAGCAGTCTCCTCTGCAATTTACTGCCTCTGAAAATTTGCTGGAGGGTCAGCTACGGGTCGGTTTTTCACTTGACGGTATACAACAACATAAGAAGGTGAAGCACAGTCGTTGTTCTAAAATACAAATGAGTGCTGCATAGTATTCCATTGTGTGAATGTACCATAATTTCTCAATTAGCACTAAGGAGCACTGATTTCAAAAAATACTACATAACTTGGGAGAGACTGGAAAGTATTGTGCTGAGTGAATTAACTCAAGTCTTATAAGGACAAATACTATGTAAGACCATTATTGAAAAATAGGAGGATAACTACTAAAACATGTATGGGAATGCAGGGGCAGGGGGAGGGGTAGAAACAGAGGGGTGAGGATGCATAGGGGCAAAACCACAGGGTTGCACAGTTTGGTGGGGGAGGTGGGGACAGATGAAGGAAATAGGAAGGATCCAGGTGAAAAGACAGGGTAATGATGGGCAAGGACCAATGGTGATTAAATTTATAAAATATAATGCATGAGAAAGATTGTGTGAAACACAATATGAATGAGAACTAGTGTATACATAACACAATGTATATGAACTGTAAGCAAACCAATTTAAAAAAACCAACAAAAAAACCAAAACACAAATGAGGTACAAGGCAGAGAATGCAAGTAAGGCATGAGATTTGTACTTAATTCTAAGAACTAACAATCATTTTTGTAAAAGGAAAGCAGGGTGAATTTAATGGTATGTGAAATACATAAAAATGAAGCACATTCATGAACAAGCTTTGTGTGGCTATATATTGGACTCACAGAAGTATTATTTATGTAAGAAAAAACAGGAAACAATCCAAATATTAAGTGAGTAACTATTCATTTAATCAAGAGAAATGATTGTAAAATAACTATTTTTAAAGCCTATGATATTGCTTTCAGTTCTTGGCCTTTGGTGCTTTGGAATAATAAAGCACTGTAGGGGACTGAAAACATTTTGTGTGTGTATGTTAGAGGGGAGAGCTTACAATGTGATGTTACAACTATCTATATGGAATTCTCTCATCTTCCTTGCAAGAGACTAGGGTTTAATTTCCAGACAGCCAGTGAACCTCAAGTGCATCCACCACTGATCAGTCAATGCAAGTTTACAATGTTGCTATGACAGATGGGTTTCAATGGAGCTTCTAGACTAAGAGTAGGAAGAAAAGACCTGGCAATCTACTTGTAAAAACCAACCAGTAAATTCTCTCTCTCTCTCTCTATATATGTGTGTGTGTGTGTGTGTGTGTGTGTGTGTGTGTGTGTGTCAAAGTGCTCCAATCCCAATGCACAAAAAAGGTCATCATCAATAAAGGGCTGACTTAATGGCAATTGTTGTTAGGTGACATCAAGTCAAGTATGACTCATAGCAATCCTATGAACAACAGATCTGAACCCTTCCTATCCTGTGCCATCCTCAAAATCCCTGACTTACTTGTATCTATTGCTGCAGTCACTGTGTCAAAACATCTGATTGAGTGTCTTCCCTCTCTTTCACCATCCCTCTACCTTCCCAAGCATGACATCCCTTCTCCAATGAACAGTCTCTCCTAGTAACATGTCCAAAGATGAAACACTGTCATCTTTGCCTCAAAGGAGCACTCTGGCTGCACTTTCTCTAAGATATATCTGTTCTTTTGACAGTCCATGAGTACATTCAGTACTCTTCTCCAATACCACAATTCAGAGTTGTCAGTTCTTTTTCAACCTTATTATTTTCATCCTTATTATTCATTGTCCAGCTCGCAGCAGCACAGTAAGTAACCATGGCCTGAATCAGACAAACCTTACTCCTCAAACTGACAACATTGCTTCTCAGTAATTCAGAAAGATCTCTTACTTCAGACTTTCCCAGTCTCCTGATCTCCTGACTTGTGGTACCAAGTGTACTGATTGTAGATCCAAGTAAGATATAATGAAGCAATTGACAGTTTCAATCTTTTCTCCAACTAGAGAATTTTTACTTTCTTAATGTTGAGATGCAATCCATATTGAAGGATGCAGTCTCTGATCTTCTGCAAAAAGTGTTTCAAGTCCTCCTCACTTTTAGCAAGCAAGGCAAGGTTGTGTCATCTACATAATGAAGATAACGAGTCTTCCTCCAATCCTGATGCCACATTCTTCCTCAGAATTCAGCTTCTCAAATAAATCTTTCAGCATTACAGACTGAATAGGCATGGAGAAAGGATACAACTCTGATGCACACCTTTCTTAATTTTAAACCATGGTATTTAATGGAAACAAACAACAAAATAGCACTGGTACTTGCAAACTGGTATAGGACAATTCCAAAATTATGCTATACTGACTGGAAAGGACTTTAACAGGATCATTCAGTCCATTACTTAACTCTAGAAAGAGTGACATCTGAATTGTTTGGTATAGTTGAGAAACTTTTTAAACATTCCATAGGAAAGAAAAAGGCTACCTTCTCATTTTACCACTATAATCATGTATCAATGAAGTATGTATACTGCAATTGTAATATCTACTGCAAAAATCTAGTTAAAGTGGCAATAAGCAAACCATAAGATTCCATATGATGGAAATCTAGTAATTAACAAGGAAAAGAAAAAGAAACTGACCTTCAGAAATTTCTTTGTCCAAAGATTTCAGCTCTTCTTCAATTTCAGTTTTAACTTTTACTAGAACTTCTTGATCCACAGACTGTGAAACTGTATCTAGTTGTAGCCCTAAAAGCAACAACAGCAAAGTTACTAGATCCATAGGAGTGAAAAGCTATTTAAATACCACAGTATTTTAACCATTAAGTCAAAAAATGCATAATCAAAACTCATTGTCAAGGCTATATCTATTGAGGTTAAGATATATTTTTTAAAATCGTATTTCAAAGAAAAGTCTTAGTAGAAATATTTAAGCCTGTCTCTGGTGGTGAAGTCTTTTAAGTATTGAAATGGCAGAATAAGCCTTCATCTTTCTAGACAGTTCTGCCAACAACAGAGAGAGCAGAACTTTTAGAAAAACATTAATCATTAACTCAGAGGAAACAATTTGGATGACCAAGCATAAATCCTCTCCTATACAAGCCATGAATTTCTACTAAAAAGACTTTGTATGCAAACTAATGTAAAATGAAAAAGAAATATATTTTTTAAAAAATAAATAAATAAAAAACATTTATGGAACTTCATCTGTTGCTGAAGGGATTATAAAATGGTACAGCCTAACATGGAAAACAATCTGGGAATCATTAGTGTGTTAAATATAGAGCTGCCTTATGACCCAGTAATTCCACTCCTAGGTATATATCCAAAAGAACTGAAAACAAGCATGTAAACCGACACTTGTTCACCAATGTTCACTGTTGCACTATTCAAAGTAGCCCACAAGTGGCAATAGCCTAAGCTTTTATATTCTAATCATCAGTAATTACCAATGCACCTTGATATTATGTTTGATCAAATTTAAAGAGAAGTTAGTAAAAATTTTTAATTTCTTCATCTTTAACAGTAGTGCGTATATCTGAATAATGGTCCTCCTTCTCTAAGTGTATCCTTTCAAGGATAGCACTGTACTTCAGAAAAGATTTTAAAATGTTCTTTTTTAAAAACTTGTGCTGAGGATCTCTGGTGGCCTAGTGGCAAGGAGCTGCAATTACAATCCCAGAGACGCACGTTTCGAATCCACCAGATGCTCTGCTGAGGAAGGAGGGACAATCTCCTCCTGTACCAGTCAGATCTGATTTGACGGTACACTCACACAAAAATAAAAAATAAAAATAAATAAATAAAATTTTAAAAAAAACTTGTGCTGAGTGAAATTTACAAAATACATTTTTTAAATCAATCCATCATATACATTTTTATTCATAAATATTAAGTACAATACCTATAGTGTCTGATCATCCACTTACTCTATTTTACTTCACCCATACTGATCCTGTCGTGTATCATGTCAGAACCGATCCAATAGCTGACCCTCCAGGGAATTTTCAGAAACAGTTAATCATATGGGAGGAGATTGCGCATCTTTCTCCTACAGTTGGTGAATTCAAACCATGTACCAGTGAAACTCCTTATCACTCAACCATGAGAGCTGCCTTCATCAAGTTGGACCCATAGCTGATCCTTCAGCAGGTGTTCAACCAAGACTCATCTAACATTAGCTATAATATCCACAGAACCAAAGCCTCTTCTAAACCCAGCATGCACTTCTGGCTATTTTTTGTTGATGTGCTGTTCCAATCCTTTTTGGATAATCTTCAGCAGAATCTTGCTTGAACGATCCAATAATATTGTTCGATAATTTCCACACTCTGTCAGGTCACCTTTCTTTGGAATGGAAAAAAATATAGATCTCTTCCAGTCAGCTGGCCAGGTGGTTATACTCCAGATTTCTTAGCACAAGTTGATGAGCACATCCAGGGCAGCATCTGTTTGCTGAAATATGTTAATTGGTATGTCATCAATTCGTGGGGCCTTGTTTTTGGCCAATTCTTTCAGAGCAGCTTGAATTTTTTTCTTCATCACCAGCTTGAATTGCTTTCTTCATCACCACAGGCTCTTGCTCATACGTTGTTTCATGAAATAATTCTGTGTCAGCTAATTCCTTTTAGTACAGTGACTCTGCATACTCCTTCCATATAAAGACTTTTAAAAATTTTTTGCAGTAAGTATGATGTCATTCACCATCAACTTGTCATTCCTGACATAACAGACTGGTTCAAAATAGTGACAGCAATCCATTTCAGTTTACTAATGTTTAAGACACTGATCTTTTAAGTGGTTCATTTCATGTTAGATAACTTTCCATTTTCCTTCATACACATTTCCAATTCACATTTCATACATTCTACATCCTGATACTAACGGACATTTGAAACTGTTTCTTCTCATTTTGAGTTGTGCCATAATCAGCAAATGAAGATCCTGAGAGCTTTATTCTTTCGACATGATGAGGGAAGACTCTACTCTGAGGCAGACTGAGTGTCTTCTACCTTGGGGGCTCATTTTTTGGCATCATATTAGACAATCTTTTACTGCTACTCATAAAGCTTCACTAGCCAATTTTTTTTTTTAGAAAATAGATCATTAGGTGCTTTTTCCTAGTGTTTCTTAGTCTGACGTCAGAAAATATTCTGAAATTTGTTCTTGAACATAAGAGTAGCTGAAGTAAATGGAAGAAATGAGGAAGTAAAAAAGCTGAATATCAGAATCAATTCAAAGGGAGGCTCAAGAAGACAAAAGTAATAATCAAATGTGCAAAAATGAGTCAGAAAACCAAAAGGGAAGAACACACTTAATGATCAACTTAAAAGAACTGAAGGGGGGAAAAATGCAAGTCTTAAGTAGCAATACTGAAGAACTCTATAGGCCAAATACTAAGTGACAGAGAAGAATCAAAAGAACATGGAAGGATGCATTCCTTAAGAGTCACTGCACCAGAAGGAACTGGTCAGTGTTCAGCCATTTCAAGAAGCAGTTTATGATGGTACTTAGGAAATACAGACTCCAAAACGCAAAACAAAAGCCAAATATTGTAACTAGAATAATGATCTCCTAAATCACTATATCAAAGAATTCCGGTGGCGTGGTTTGTAGGGAGTTGCACCATTAACACAAAGGCCATATATCTCTGAAGATTGGAATCCAGTATCCATTCCATCAGAGAAAGATGGCCAAATTCCTATGTGATTTTCTGACTAGAAACTCAATGGAGGATCAGTTAGAAATCAAATGTTATTTAGTGGCAATGAGAAAGAGAGAATCACTATATCAGACAGTGTTCTTAAGCCTTTTTGCTTTAGTCTCTTAGGGATAAAGGCTAACTCTTCCAAGAATGTTATTTAAGCAATCTTATGCATTTATAGAGTCTCCAGATTCCACAAACCATGGTTAAAACATTTGACTAGCATTTCACTCTCCTTCTTCCTCCTCCTGGGCTTCTTTCCACATAGCCACACTCATTACATAATACCGTCCTTTCATTCAGTTCAAATACAATACTGTATTGTAGAGGGACCTGATCTATAGTTTCATATTACTGAGTGACCTGACTTAATGTGGAGAAGTTGATGATCAATCCTAAAGAACTCCAACGACACGAACCAAGAAGACTAATCAAAGTATGGAGAAAGAAGAAAGAGATTGTCTCCAAAGACTAAGCTGGACCAGGGCCTCCAGGTCAACTGGGGGGAAATTTTTGGATATAAAAGCATAAAAAAGGCTGGAAAAGCTTGCATACTAAATTCAAGTTCTTGCTTCATTGTAAAACAATTTACTTTTTCAGTAGATAAAGCTTTCTTCATTAAATGTTTTCAGTAGTAGAAAGCACAATTTTTCACTTGAACATGAAATTTTTTATAAAACAAGGGGGTCAATTTCTATATTCCACAAAAATTCACATCCCTGGGACACAGGTAAGAGTGTCACAATCATGCCAAGAGTCTGGGATTGGTTTCAGCTGAAGGGGTTCAAGAATGTCAAAATAATTCAGGCCTGGTTTTAATTGGATTTGGTCAAACATTCTTCTAAGTGGTATAGCACTGGTCTATCCATTTGCTGTAACTCATGAGAGGTAACTCGTGGTTGTTGTGATGCTAAACACTGT